TGGCAAATGATCTTACAGGGACGCGGTGAGTCCAGCGTTAATTAGCTCAGGTGATATAAAGCATGGCGGCTCAAAACTGCAGTAGTTGACTGAAGCATTCACGAGAAAAGCTCATAAGTTCTAAGTTCAGTATGCGAGACGCGCCATAGCCAATTTTGGGTGAATGTTCCCTGTCTCTATAAAGCATTTATTCAAAACGATTATCAACACTATTTAAAAACAATCGCAAACGACTGCAATTATAGATCGTTTCCGCTGATTTTTTTTCCGAAGGGGGCTTACCTCCGCGTGTTGTTAGCGCGTTAAACGTTTTTAAGCCGGCGGCACAGCGATAAAATCGCCAGTGTGCGGGAAACCCGGCGACAATGCAATTCAATCTGTCAGCAACATACCACTGTATGAAACTGATAGCCGTCCCTACGGTGACCTGTTTCAGAATAGCAAGCGTGATCAAATATGGCAGCGCCCATGGTATGGGAGAGAACGAGGGAGGACGAACTCGTTGATATCTGGCAGAACCGCCCATTACTTTTTGATATTACGAGTGGGATTTACAGTGATAGGAATAAGAAAAAGAAAAAAATTAAATATATTCCAATAACTTGAAGAACGGCTATCGTGGTGTCAATGGGCTCTTCTATTTTGAACAGGTCACGTAGGGCCCTAATCAGTTCATACAGTGGTATGTTGCTGACAGATTGTTGCATTGTCGCCGGGTCCCGCACACGTGGCGATTTTTATCGCTGTGCGCCCGGCTTAACGTACCGTAACAACACGCGGAGGCTAAGCCCCCTTCGGAAAAAAATCAGGAAACGATCTATAATTGCAGTCGTTTGCGATTGTTTTTAATAGTGTTGATAATCGTTTATAAATGCTTATAGAGACAGGACATCCCAAAATGCTATTGGGGTCTCGCATACTGAACTTGAACTATGAGTTTCTCGTGATGTTCAGTCAACTACTGAGTTTTACCGCCATGTTATATCACTGACTAATAACGCTGACTCACCGGTCCCTGTAAGATCATTGCACCCCAAACATGATGAAAGAACAGAACCGCGACACGACGCACACCAAATGGATAAGTCAAGAACTAACTATACCAGTCTAACTAAGCACGTGTACGTTCACAGATGCGTGTGCATGCGGGCACGTACACCATGCACGCACATACATGTGCTATAGCGTTTACCTACACGCCTGTGTGCGCGGTAGGTAGACACGTGCGTGTAGGTAGACACGTGCGTGTAGGTAGACACGAGCGTGTAGCTAGACACGTGCGTGTAGGTAGACACGTGCGTGCAGGTAGACACGTGCTTGTAGGTAGACACGAGTAAATGAACGCTGGCGGCAAAAGGCACGTGCACGAGTGTACATCCCAGGTACACGCCGAACACGCGACAGTACACGCGTCCATCACGGTGACTGGTATCTTCACGCACGAGCAAGTGCACGCACACAGCACGAGTGTTGATATAATATTTGGTGGGTAATCTATCGGGTAGGTTACTGTCGTGCTGCTTCCTCCGTCATCCTGACTGCGCTTGCTCACAAGCGAATTAAATCTTCTACGTGGTACCTCAGGGTTTATATCGACAGAAAGCCGCCTTGTCGTCTTGTTATTACAATATTGCATAAACTCTAACTGTAAGTGGCAAGAACCTGTCTCAAGGGAAGGGGGCTGAGAACAATCAGCAAGATGCAGAGCTGTTTTATCTGCACATATGATATAATAAATATGTCAGTAGTTATAGCAATTGTATACTGGGTAAAAACTCTAAATAAATAATAACCGATAAAAGTTGTCATTACAAACCTTTAAATTTGAACAGTTATATTCGCCTCCCTCCCCGTCCATGACATTGGCTCTTATGTCTGGCAACAATCTCTGATGTCATTCCTCCCAGGTGGTAATTGTACTCCCCCCCTTCCCAGTAATTCAAATTCTAACCTTTCCATCCCAGTATAATCATGATATTGTGCGTGTTTACCTAATTAAATAATCAAAATATGTGTTTAAAATGTTTACTTGCATTCATCGTTTTTCTTTTATACATCTTTTAGCCGGATATTCGATTCAAAATGTTTAGTCCCAGTCAATAGGGAAACGTGATTCGTGAAAAGTTTCGGATTTTTGGGTTATATTACGAACGTTTTTTTACTCGGACGCACTGCTTACATAACGCGGGGTACTTACACACATATAGACTTACACTCAATATTTATATATTAATGCATCACATGACTATGCAATCTACTTTTCATGCTTATATACCTTCTTTATACTCCCTAATTTGCCGGTCCATTCGATGTAACAAAACGCTTGACACAAACATAATCGCCATTAATTCGAAACTCTTGCGTGGCGCCCAGACGCAGGAGATTCGTGACGTAAACACAATGCGTTATAATAACAATGCGTCGCGCAAGCAATAGTGCCCGCTGCATAGTGCCTGCGACGTTATCCAATAGAATTTCAACGATTTATCACGTGATGCACTAATATCTCATATTACACTCAATAGCTTCAGATGATGGCTTTCAAGTTCATTCGTCAATACAATCTTTAAAAGCTTTATGAATTGCCCTTTGCTAACAATTGCGGCGGTTCCCGCTCACTACGAATGCACGCGCCGGTATACGTAGGACTACCCGATTTTTTCCCCTGGTGAATACGGTGTGTGCGCGCGCGCGCGCGCGTGTGTGTGTGTGTCAGCGTGCGTGCGTGCGTGCGTGCGTGCGTGCGTGTGTGTGTGGTAGTGTGGGTGATGTGTGTGTAGTGTGGCGTGATATGGTGTGCGTGTGTGTGCCTGTGTGTGTAGTGGGGGGGGGGGGTCTGTGTGTATGTGTGTCTCTCTGCATGCGCGCGCGCGTGTGTGTTTGTACGTGCGTGCGTGCGTGCGCGCGTGCGTGCGTGCGTGCGTGCGCGCGTGCGTGGTGACGGTGGTGGTGGTAGTGTGTGTGTGTGTGTGTGTGTGTGTGTGTGTGCGCGCGCGTGTGTATTTGTTTTTTGTATGCGTGTGTGTTTGCGCACGCGTGCATGCGTGTGTGTGCGTATGTTCATATAAACAGGTTGCAATTTTTGCCTCCGTGTTTCAAGTGTATGTATGTATGTATGTATGTATGTATGTATGTATGTATGTATGTATGTATGTATGTATGTATGTATGTATGTATGTATGTATGTATGTATGTATGTAGTGATGTGTGTGTGTAGTGTGATGTGTGTGGGTGTTGTGTGTGTGTGTGGTGCGTGTGTGTGTGTGTGTGTTTGGTGTGTGTGTGTGTGTGTGTGTGTGTGTATGTGTGTGTGTGCTGTGTGTGTGTGTATGTATTATGTAATTCCCCATGCCCGGCAAACCGCCCAAGCGATCTGGAATCGCAATTCTTCTAGAGGGTCGATTCCTATATCCCGGGGAGTGTATTGCTAGACGAAAAAATATTAAAATAAAATTTAAAAAGTTAAAAAGTTAAAACATTGCGGCGGTGCGTTACAGATTAACATGGACGATACGTCTGGAATGCCATGGTGTATAAGCCCGGCGCAGTGTCCCTTATCGCTAGCAACATCCCTCCACATCCGGATCGCGGTGGTCGAACGCACATCGGGAAACTACTTTGTTTCTTTACTTTCGATCTGTTTTAGTATGTACTCTGGCTACCTCACCGTTAATTCATAAATGTAAAATTTTACTACATTCAACGTTTAGTACAAAATCCCGATAAACGATGTAGAAATGATAAAATCGCAAACTGACGGGAAGCACTTCAGCGGAATCCTATGTAGGTTACAGATAAAAATCATAATTTATTTTGTATTCTATGTATTTATATATTTCACCATTTTTACTTATTTGTTGAAGTCTTTTATCTTTGATTTCCTTATTAGCTTTTTACGTTGTGATGGGAATGGGATGGCATGGATGGCGTGCGGATCCCATGATGGGATGCATGCGATGCATGGACGGATGGCATGCGATGGCATGGGGATGGGCTATGGCAT